AAGTGTTTATATTCAAAGTTGATTGGACCTAAAGCGTAACACTTCCAAAAACTGCATTGGTCTATTTTAATCTATTTTTTCATCATCTAATCCAAGAATGCCACCTCTCTCTGTGTGCGCGAGCGCGCGAAACTCCCTTGTATGTGTGGTTTTTTTTTCAAATAAAATACGCATTGGACTGCATTGTAAGTTGTTTTGACACTAATAATCAACATCAAAAAGATTGAAACTAAACTTGAATTTATATTTACTGATGCACCTATTATATTAAAATTATGAGTTGCTGGTTTTGATATCTAAGAGCATCTCAACGAGACTTTTTACTTTTTTAAATAACATCTTCTTCATTATAAAGAGTATTTTTAAATTTTAAGAATAAATATTTTCATAAAGTCCAATGGACTCTTTCATCAATTGTTTTTCAATCAAGTCTCAATTAATATTTTTCTAGATATCAATAACTAAAATATTCAATATAATATTAATACTTAAAAGTAGTGGAGCATTAAAACTTGTAAGTTCATTAAATTCATTTCTATAATATACAAGTAGAGAATGAGCTTACTCTTTATTTTGAAAAAATTAAAATAAAGAGTCTTTAGGGCATGATTTCAAAGTTGAACTCTTTAAAATAATAGTCATCTTACTTTTAAAGAATCTCTTCAAAATGCTATAACTATAATTGAAGCATATATTAACAAATACTAGATTTTCAGCCCAAGACAGGTGGCAATATTTTTATTTTGCTGTTGATATATTATCAACACATGACAAATAAAATTGCATGAGAAATAAAACAAAACAATGGCTTGTAAAAATAGAAAAAGTTAAAACATTTTGATTTCTCATCATTAAGGTTACATTGAATACCAGTACATTATTTTTTATCATATTAAACTTTCATCATGCCAGAAACATAGGGGATGCCTGTGGGCTTGATCCAGAGATCACCACCAAAGTATCTTGCAGGAGTGAAACTCTCAGCAATTTGAGGAGTAATCTTCTTAATACCCTTCCATGTAGCCCTGTTAGCCATGTTAGATCCTGGACCATGGTTCTTGTATTCACCATAGTAGCAAGTGTCAAGAGCGTATGTTCCAGCCCAAGGGGACCAGCCCTCTGGATGAATTAAGGCGTCGATGTAGGATTGTATGATGATGGTTCTTGAGTAATCCTTCCATGGGCGGCCGAGGTAAACCTGGATTGTCTGGTCTTTGGGATTAACGGCGAGAAGTGCAGGCTCTCCAACAATATGGCAGTTTTGGAGAACAATGGCCCCTACGCCACGCTTATCTTTCCTTCCTTGAGCAGTGACCATGCAGTTCTGATTAATATCTGGTTTCCTCACAACCATCTTGCAGTTCTGGAACACGACGGCTGCATCGCCAAATATGAAGTCGATGGTGCCGGATATGGTGCAGTCACGGAAGTATTGGCGGTAGGTGTGGACGTATAGGGTGTCTTGGTATCCATCTATGGCGCAGTTGTAGAAGATGCCCTTATCGGCTGAAACTCGGAGGGCTACAGCCTGGTGCTTGTTGGCTCCAGCTGTGTTCTCAAATCCGATGTCTCTTGCAGTGAACTCTTCACCATTGACAGCTGCGCAAATTCAAGCAACAAGATTAAAGAAAGAAGTACAAATTATGAATTTATTCCAAAATCTTGAGATTTAAACGTGAATTTAACTTACCGACTGTTGCAGTGTGGAAGGTCATGGTACCATCAACATAGTTCTTTCCGCCTGAGATTCTCGTCTTGGTTGGGCCTTCGCCAATCAATACAATCTTATTCATTTTCTTGGGGATAATGACGGTTTCCTTGTAGATTCCAGCCCTGACAAAAATGACAAATGTCTCATTGTTTTTCTGTGGGACAGTTGCGAGGGCTTCATTAATAGTCTTAAACTTTCCACTGCCATCTTGAGCCACCACTGCGTTGGGCTTGAGAGAGGCGGGACTGGAGGCAAGAAGCTTTCGCCTAGCAACATCAACAAATGCTGGGATCTCCTGAGTATACTCAGTGTTTGAATTAGACAGCAACCTCCTGCTGAAGCCTCCCAATTGCAAGTTTCCAAGAATCTGGGAAATGTCAGTAACCATGGCGAGCCCATTGCTGGAAAGCTCGGCTGCAGTTTTCAAGAGCTTCTTCATTTTCTCACCAGTGTTACCGGTGGTGTTCTCAAAGCCATCGATGCAAGTTTCTTGATAGGTGATGGAACCACTTAGCCATGTTTTGAGATCTTCGACGTATACATCCATCTTGCTGACATCAAAATTATCGACCGATGCAAAAGACCTCTTAAGATCCTCAATAGATGTCTCAAGAAGTTCTTTGCAAGTTTCCAGGGCCTTAGAGGTCATGGGGTCCTTCGCTGCCTCCTTGAGGAGTGAAGAATTCTTAATGACCTGAGCAATATTTTCCTCGGCCACATTGAATGCAATCTTAATGAGTTCTCTGGGGTCGCTGGTATTTTTGGCGGATGAGAGGCTGTTTTTGCAGGTCTCCTTGTAATCTGTGGGGGCGCAAATGCTGTCAATAGCCTTGGTGGATGTGCTTATTTCGCCACCGCCATTAGACTGGCTGCCGTCGCTGGCAGGGGCACTGCCATTTTTCGAGACGCTAACGGTCACAGCAACAACCATGGCCACCAAGAGAATTGAAGAAAAGCCCGCTACGGCTATCTTTTTCTTCTTTCCCTCAAACCCCATTTTTTGAATCAAAATTCTATTCCTGTTTTTACAACTTTTTTTTTTTTTTGGGGTTTATTTTCTTCGGCCTCCTGGTTGGAAAGAAAGACACAGAGCTTTTGTTAAGGGGTTTCTAGGTTATTATTGGATTCCCCTTTGCTCTGGGACGATTTGGTTTGTTCAAATGAAGGTCTTATTTATAGTGCAGGAACAATAACTGGAGAGACAAGCCAGCCATTTAAGTTTCAAAATCGTTAGTTAATTTCTGTTTGAGGAATTTGAGGTTGTCCATTCCTACAAATCAGGATTTACATGCAGATTAATGGAGATCCACACTTCCGGAATTTTGATGCTGAAACAAGCATGAATTGTCCTACATTTTTTCTTGACCAATCTACATGGCCATGCAGGCATTATTTTTTGGGTTTCATATATAGTCCAACATTTTTTTTATTTCATTCTTTTTAACTATATATGCTACAGAATAAAGAATACATTTTCTTAGAAAAATAACTATCATAAAATTCAATTCGTAATGGAATTAATTAGCACTTAGATATTTTTCATCATTTTTAGAAGATGGTTTCTTAAACTTCTTCTAATTTACAAAGGAAAATTTAGAAGTAAAGAAATAAACTGCAGGAAGAAGAAAACACTTTTCGCTTGATCAGGAAGAAGAAAACACTTTTACCTGTAAAGTACGGGTATATACTCTAATTGAGAGAAATTTGAAACCAAATATTTCAAATTCAAATATGTTAATTATTTTAAGAAAAAAGATTAGAAAATCAAAGGCGATCTAGCATTATTTTTAATGTTAATAAATTTGTGAAAACATTTATCAATCATCAAAATGAATTTAAAAAAAATGACAGCGAAAATTTCTTGTGCTGACGGATCAACCACAAACAGAAAAAATTTGAATCATTAAAATGAAGAAAAAAAAAAAACGTATTTGTTCAACTTTGAGCTTAAAATGACTGAAAAAATTTCAAAAAATGCGACAATCATATTGCGATGCAATGTCCCCATGCAGCACGCTCCAACCCAACCTCGGCATCTACATCATCACGAAGAGTCCTTACATAAACCCAACATTTCTTGAGGAACTATTGTTACTCTTGCTCCCGACATGCAACCACGCCATGCTACTTGTCGCCTCATCCATATAAGAAGATGGGCAACCCTCTTCAAAAGTATTGACGTTCACTCAGTCCATGGCAATCGTCGGTGTATTTATGTTGAGTGCTTGGCAAATTATATTCTTTGGAAAATTCATATGCAGAGTTTGAATCAGGCTCATTTATACTCTAATTTGTATCAATAATTTGAAATTTTTGGTTATGAAATCGAATCAAACCAAATCAAAACTGAAATCATTGGCTTCAGTTCCATAATTACAAAATGGAAATAATTGTTCCATTATAAAATAGGGAAAATTACATAAATCAGGTGTTTAAAGATTGGAAATTCAAAAATCAGGGATCCAATTTTATTATTCAAATATTAGGTATGAATATAATTATCTACACCCAATTGGATTTCAAACCCTAACCATTTCCCTTCGTCATTTTCTTACCACCTCCTATCTTCTCTCTCTCTCTAAACGCCGCACTTCTCCTCTTCTTCCATTTTCTTCATGGCTGCAGCAGCGACTCTTATGGTGCATCATCACTGCTGTTGCCGGTGGGTAGTGGAGGCAGTCGTCGTCGCCCATCGTTGTGTGGGGGCTGCAGCACCGACAACCATCTGGAGAGAGAGAAATGTGAGAAGCAAGAGTTTCAGAGAGAGAGAGAGAGAGAGAGAGAGGGGGACACGCTGTAGTCCGACGTCGCGAGCAACAATACAAATCTGCTACGCTCACTAGACTATCTACCCTATTTGCCTATGGGTGCAGTGGTGGCGACTGTGTGGTGCAGTGGTGTTTGATCAATTGTGGTGGTGCAAATGTGGGGTGTGGTGGGTTCGAATCTGGTCGGTGGTGTTGATAGTGTGTGGTTGGATGAGGTGGTGGTGAGTTTGTTGGTGGTGATGTTGGTGGCCATGGTGGTGATAGCGGCGACAGGGCGAGGGTGATCAAAAGTGGCTGAAGTGATAATGCTAGTGGTATATGACCAAATATTTGGTTATATGTAACAAGTATTTAATTGTGATCTAAAAATTTGACATGTGACTGAAAAATAATCAGTGATCAACAAATTTGAAAATATGTGACCAATGAAATTAACTGTAACATATAAATTTTTGAATTTGTGACCTCAAAATCATTTGTGACTAATTAATTTGATAAATGTGATCAATAAATAAATTATGACCTATAATTATGTATCTCTGAATATTAACTGTATAATTGTGAATTTATTATATTTAAATAATAATAATTATTTTTAATTAATTAATTAAATACCCGATTTTTGAATTTTTTAAACTTAATATCTGATTTTTGAATGGGTGAATCTTAAAACCTGATTTGTGAATTCTTCCCTATAAAATAAGGTGTCCATCCAGCCCGCTCGACAATTGGGCCACTGAGCCTATTCTTCCGTCATTCAGCCTCTTAAAGAAGCCTAAAGAAAAAAATAAAATAAAATAATATTATATTATAGAAAAAAGTAGTTAAAAAAGTTTTATTGTAATGTAGCATGATTTAATAATGTGCTTCGAAAACGCGTTAAAGATTTTGAATAAAATTAAGGGCTTGTTTGGGAATGATTTTAATCCAATTAAAATTGAAAATATAGCCGTTATTGGGTCCCACCCGTCTAATAAAAGTCAACAATAACGGCTAGTTTTTCAATTTTAATCCGATTTTAATCCTTTCCAAACAAGCTCTTAATTCA